AGTGGTTCTGTCTGGGTCTATATGGGTCTGTGTGGTCCTGAGGGTCTCAGTGGTTCTGTCTGGGTCTATATGGGTCTGTGTGGTCCTGAGGGGTCTCAGTGGTTCTGTCTGGGTCTATATGGGTCTGTATGGTCCTGAGGGTCTCAGTGGTTCTGTTCAGGTCTTACCTTCACACAGGAACCCGATCAGGCCCCAGATGAAGTCGCTGCAGCCGTGGCAGAAGGTGGGTTTGGTCAGGGTGACCCTCTTGAAGCAGTGACCCGGTCCAGAACTCTGGTACTTGGGCCGTGGACCCGGGGACTCCTGCGCCCTCTTCCTCCCGGCCGCGGGGCTCGATGCCCGGCCGTTGGCGGCGTCCAGGTCCGCCGAACCGGGCAGGCCCGACTCGGCCATGTCCTTCCACAAAACCCCACAACAACACGGAACCAGGCGCGGTCCAATCCGGCGGAGAAGCCTGGATTTATCGTGAATGTTTCACCCGAACCGAGGGGAGTCCCGCCGGACCGAACACAGCCGCGCAGCCCGGCGGAGGGGCGCTGAGCTCGGCGTGAGTCCTGAACTTCCCTCCGCGCTTCAGCTCCGGCTACAAAAACACACGAACCAGAACCGCCGGTTCCGACAGTGTGACACAAACTGGGCCTGTTCTATGACAGATAAGACGCTGCTGGTTCCAGATAAGGGCTCATTTCAGCGGCCCGATCCAGCGGTGCTGCCCGGCGGAGAGGGCGCCGAGGTCGGTGTGTTTCCTGGAGGATCCCGCCGAACCGAACCAGCCTGTTAATCATCAAACTCCTGAAGAAAAAAACAATCCGAGTTCCGCAAACAAACCCGGCCAGAACCACTGGAGTCTCGTCGGTTCAACCCCCCGACCCGCCCGGAGACAGCGGTGCCACCCAGCGGCGCCGCGCGGAGGACAGCCCCGGAGCCCGGGCTCAGGAGGCTGGATGAAGAAAAGATGACATGTCGGTCCGACAGACCCGCAGTTACCGAGGCTGTCTGCTCTGCCTCTGCGGGGGCTGGGAGGCCAGCCAGCGGCGAACCAGCGGGGCCCGAACCCGCGGGAAGACACGCGAAGGCGGGCAATCAGAGGCCGAGGAGCCGCCGCTGCGCCGGGGCTTCATCAACAAGTGTCCGCCTGAAGGAGCTGCACTCCGGCGGTCATGGTGGGCTTCTTCTTCTTCTGCTGCTCACCGCCTGGTTCTTCTTCTTCCGCATCTGAGTGTTACTCCTCCTCCCGCCGCTTCATCCTCCCGCCCTCAGCTCCTCTTCATCACTCAAGTTCTGACCCAACTCCTCTTCATCAGCTCCTCATCCTCTCCTCTGACCCGGTTTCATCCTGAAATCTGTTGAGGAAACTCTGTAAAACAGCTTTTTGTTTACTTCTGATTTGCTTCACAGATAAACAGCTTTTTGTTTACATCACACATAGATCATTTAAATTTTATCTTTAAATTAAATTTCCATTTAAACTGTAGGTTAGAAAGGGTTTGTAAATGTTGAGCAGATGTTTAGGTTTTATTTCACATTATTAGCTGCTGTTTAGAAAAATACATTTAGACACATAATAGATGTAATTAAGATTTCTTTTTAACATCTTTCAGTCATTTGTAAGACATCTCTAAGACGTTTTTAGACATCTGTAAGACAGCTGTTATACATCTGTGAGACGTCTTTTAGACATACGTGAATCATCCTTCAGACAACTGTAAGATGTCTTTTAGACATATGTAAGATGTCTTTTAGACATATGTGAAACATCTTTCAGACATCTGTAAGACGTCTCCTAGACATACGTGAAATGTCTTTCAAACATCTGTAAGACATCTTTTAGACATGTGAAACATCTGTAAGATGTGTTTTAGACATATGTGAAACATCTTTCAGGCAACTTTAAGACATTTTTCAGACATATATGAAAGATGTTTCAGACATCTGTAAGACGTCTTTTAGACATATGTCAAACGTCTTTTAGATATCTGTAAGACGTCTTTTAGACATATGTCAAACGTCTTTTAGATATCTGTAAGAAGTCTTTTAGACTATGTTAAATGTCTTTCAGACATCTGTAATATGTATTTTAGACATATGTTAAATGTCTTTCAGACATCTGTAAGACGTCTTTTAGACATTTGTTAAACATCTTCCAGACATCTGTAAGACATCTGTCTTGGAAAAATGAATTATCCTTTCAAGTCCTACGTTTCTTCTCAGGCCAAGAGTCAGTGACCTCTTTTGCTTACTTTAAAATGTCTTTATGTTTTATGATTTTTACTCTTTATTTTCTGTTTTCTCTCGGACAAAGTCATTTAACATCAGGACGATATCTGTTAGAAGTAATCATTCTTGTTGCTGTTCATCAAACATCATTCTCTCCTTGGCCCAATTTCTACACCAAAATCGTCTGTTTGGATAACATACTGTATAAATG